TTTTTTCTCCAACCAGTTCCCCAACCTTTTCAGAATCACCACTTCACATGACAGTAAGGAGCATAGTTCTCCCACGTGACAGCTGGAAGCCTATTTTGTGGTTTTGTTTTCATTGAATAAACACAAATATCCCAAATCATCCAAAATAATATATTTACTGTAAAGTAATTAACTGTAATTGTTCCTGCAAAGTCCCTTTTGCCATGTGAGAGAATATTCACAGGTCTGGGTGTTAAGGTAGGGAGGTTATTAGGAGGCCATGCCTACTGTAAATATAGTTATTGGGGCAAGATGATAAGTGATTTTTTAAGCGTATTAATTTCCTAGGACTGCCATAATAAAGTACAGCAAACAGGGCAGCTTAAACAACAGACACGTATTGTTGCATAGTTCTATAGGCCAGAAGTCTGAAATCATGGTGTCAGCAGGGCTGGTTCCTTTTGAGCGTAGTGAGAGAAGAATCTTCTCCAAGCCTCTCTCCTTGGCTTGTAGATGATCCTGCTCATGTACACATGCCATTCTCCCAGCATGTGTGTCTAGGGCCAAATATTCCCCTTTTAGAAGGACACCCTTATAAGGATCAAGGGCCCACCCCACTCCAATATGACTTCATCTTAACAACTCATTACATTTGAAATTACCCTGTTTCCCAAATAAGATCATACTAAGGGGAGAGTTAAAACTCAATGCATGAATTTTGAGGGGGACACTGCCAATCCATAACAAACTGATAAGTGATACTTCTTTCAAATTTAAAACATCAGGCATTAAATAGTTTGATAATGTTATTCTTTTCTGACAAATGCTCTTGAGCATTCTGGGCCATGAGAAAACCGTAAATAAAGAATGGCATGTGGTGATACATATATCCACATATGTGATAGATATATCCATACATATATCTGATCAGTTCTATAAAACCACTTAAAGGAGCTACCATTTCACTCTCTGAGAAAAATTGCTCTGGTGAAATTAAAAAGTCTAACTTCACAGTTAATTATTCCTTGGTTATTAGAACCCTGGCCTCAAATTTTCCAAAAAAAAAAAAAATTTCCTTAATAGATACTTTAACATGATAAGTATATTTCAAAATGAAATTATTCCTAAACAAAGAAATGCATGTCCTTGCTTGGCTTTGGGGCTGGTAGAAGTCCTGAGTTTCATGGATATCACACTGTTCATCTCAGGATACATCCTCAGAGGTAGGTGTCTCAAGCACAATTCGAGTGCAAGTCCCTCGGAGTTAGTAAAGAGCTGAGCCAGTCAGATAACTGCCCGGAGAGTCACAGCTCCATCAGCTTTAGGGTAAATCCTACACTTGAGACGTCTTTGTATTTTTTGCAGAGCAAATGCAGAAGCAGGCTTCTAGAGATAAGAAACAGGGGACACCCTCCCTCCTGTGATGCACAGATGTGGTAGCCCAACTTCTATGAGATATTCTGTAGAGTGAGCCTTGCAGGAGGCAAGGCTACCAACAAGTTTTAACAACACTGAGCCTCTACTCAGTGACATAACCCCAAAAACATATATTAAAATGGCTATTTGGGTCATTCATTCATTTGACAAACCTTTATTGAGCACTGAAGATGACTAAGTACCACAACACGATATGATGGCATCAACGGGTGACATGCCCCGATCTTAGCCATGGTGTTGCTCAGTCCTATGGGACTGAAAGGGAATCTGGCAAAGAAATCCCCGTTTTATGAAGCTCCATTTTAAATTAAAAGGACCGACTCAGAAAAACAATAACCCTTTGTGTAAACAGCCGGCCTCTTTTTATATTTCCACTGAACAAAATGTTCAAGGGCAGAATCTGTTGCTGAGATAATAAGAATAAAGGGCTCTGCAGCAGGTGTTAAATGAATGGAAGCATGACAGCATTACCTATGGCTTCCAACTTTCCAGGGAGGGTTTTTCCGGCTGGTTAGGCAAGAAAGTAAAGACAAGGGAGAGAAGGACACGTTTTGCTGAGTTTAAAGCTGTCTCAGAATATACTTCTTCAAGATTTTCAACAGAGATCAAAGCTTTCAGTCTCCAAGGATTTTTTTCTATTGAGAAATTGGAACATTCTGTAGCAAATGAACCTCAGAAAGTGGAAAGATAGGTGGATAGACGTTTTCCATAAAATATTTTATGGAAATACATTTCATCAGACACTTAATCCATTAAATCTTAACATGGCAGGAATATTGTGTGGCCTTTCTCCTGCTGCCCTAATAGATAACCACAGATGCAGTGTCTTCACACAATATTTGGTTTTCTCTCACAGTTTCTGTTAAGCAGAAGACATGTAAGTAGCTCAGCTCAGTCCTCTGCCTGGGGTCTCCCAAGGCTAAAATCAAGGTGTTGGCAGGGCTACGTTTCTCTCTGAGGTTCTGGGGAAGATTCCACTTACAAGCTCATTGAGGTTGTTGGCCGAATTCAGCTCTAAGAACTACAGGGTATGTTTGGCCCTTATGGCCTCCTGCACTCTCCATCAGAGTGCCCACTCCATTTTCAAACCAGCAGCAGGAGCCATGTCCTTCTGGTCCTTCTCAGCTTTAGGTTTCTCTTCCATACCTCTTCTGCTTCCCTTGTGTCTCATTTGCCTTTTGCCTTCAGGGCAAGTTCTCGTCCTGACAGGTTCATGCAATTAGACTAGGCCCATCCAAATAATCCAAGAAAATGCCTCTATTGTAAAGTCTGAAAACTTAATTGCATCTGCAAGATATTTTTCCATGCAATGTAACATATTCACAGGCTCTGGACATTAAGTGGACATCTTTAGGAGGCTATTCTGCCTACTGTAAAGACAGTCATCAGAGCAAGTTGATAAGTAATTTCTTTCAAACTTAAAACCTTAGGTATAAAAATATTTTCATAATGCAATATTTTCAGATATATATTCTTAAGTATTCTGAGTCATGAGAAAAAAAAATCCCTAAGTAAAGCCGATAATCTTACTTTTGGATCAAATTTTTACTCACTAAACTCAAAAAATTACTCATAGACTGTTTTATATCAGTTATTTCAGTCTAGTGAAGAGTGTAGACTGTATCATTAGCCTTGTTTTTGAAGCAGACAGTGGTTGAGTGACTCATCAGCTATCATTTATCAGTGGCATCCAGGTTTTGGCTATGTGATTAATGGGAAAGTGGGCTTATGTTATTTTTCTTGGTAATCCAGGTTAGAAAATGTTCAATGTGGGTAAAATCAATTCCATTCATTCAAAGTTATCCACAGGAAAACAGTGGATGGTGGCAATGCTGTGAATAGGCTTCAGTCTACAGGGTTAGCGTTCACAAAGAGGAGAGAAAGAAAATTCGCTGTCCTGATATTTGTTCTCCTGCCTCCAGGTTTAGCATGTGATGATAGCACGGAAGGCTCTGTTTCTAGACCTTTGAAACTCCAGGAACAATATAATCGAATGATATGTGGCAATGTATTAGCACACTGTTAGCAAGAGTGGCATTGGCAAGAAACTACTAGAACCCCATGAGTCACAAATATGTGTGTTTGTGGGTGTTACCTGAGGCCATAAACAAAGGCTTAAACATATTTGCATATTGTCAAGAAATTCATTAACCTTTTCTGTTTTCAAATAGAACTGCGTGAGGTATTCCTGCATATTAGAAACCATGGGAACAAATATAAACTGGATCACTTGGATATTTGGGTTTCTAGTTTCCTGTCATATTGAAAAATAAGAAGCACCACAGGATTTCCAATATCCACCTCTCTCCCCTTGATGCAGAAGGCATTTTGATCCATAATTAAATTTGTGCTCTTTCTTGCTAAGAGAATTGAAATATCCTACAGGGTTTTCTAAGAAGGTTTGACATTATCTTTCCAGTTAGTGCCATGTTATGACAGCTCACAATTTTCTTTCTAAAAGGACATTAAAAACATATCACACACTAATAGAGGCCATGCGTAATCAGACTAAAATCAGATCCTCTTGACCAGACTATGGTACGGTAACTCTAGATGCATACATAAACTAAGTCAAATTTCTTCCAAAATAAAACAGGTAAGTCAGTATATTTTGTTCTACTATATATATTTCTCATTATGAAAGACACTTCTTCCTTGCTTCCCTCTCTTCTTTCTCTTCCTTCTTCTTCATAAACAAAATAGTCTCATCTCAGATCAATGAGATCTAATGGATATCTAATTATATGCATTGAAATATCTTAAAAAAATGTTTCGGAGTGGAATTAAATGCCCACTAAGTTTCACTAGCTTAACATGGCAGAGTATTGTCCAGAATATATGAAGCCCAGAGTCAAAGCACACCTGCTACAGAGATGAGGCAGAAATTTATAGTTTAGGTCATTGAAATCTTCTGGTTCCATTGATAAAATTATTCCTGACTACTGTTATGAATTAATTACGTCAAATCATTTTGTTCACTTTATTCTTTTAAGCTTTCAACAATCACTTTACAAGAAGCTATGATTCTGGTGAGTGGCTGGGGATAAAATAGGAGCAAACCAGGTTCTGTCCTCACCGTTGTGAAGTGTAGAGTTTATTAGGGAGGAAAAACAGTCATCAGATCATCACATTGTAAGATCATTGCAAATTAGTATATGTGTTATAAGCAAAAGAGCACACAATGGGGTTCAGGGTGACTGTTCTAAGATGAGACCTTTTAGATCCTGAAACTGAAGACTGAGGAGGAGTTAAGTAGGCAATAGAGAGTGGAGGCAAGCCAGAGAGCACTCTAGGTTGACAGTGAGGCAGGAAGGACACATGTGTGTGAGAGGGGGAAGAGAGAAAATGATACTATAATACTTGAGAAAGAGCAAACCACTGAATTTTTATCAGTTTCAGGAATGGTTCATCAGAAATGGGTCTTAGAATAGGAGGGAATTGTTCCGGTGGTTTTGAAGCCTTTGGTTGAACAATTTAGGTTTATCAACATGGGTGGACACTAAGAAAAGAGAGAAGGGATGATGATAGGGCTAAGGTCACACCAGTGTCAAAGCAGAAAATGTTCCGGTATTCGAGGTACTTACTCACAGTCTCACATCTTGTCCCGCAGAGATGCTGAGTCTCATCGGTTGACCATATCTTGCTGTTGTTGTTGGCTTCAGAACTCCTGATCTACACCACTCCAAGAGCAGCCTCAGTCTGGCTATTGATGACTGCCATCAAAGCGTCTTGTGATGATTTTATTTGTAGCTAGTTATATAATCATTTGCTGAGTGAGTGGCTGCATAGAAGCATTTGAACCCCTGAAGAAAACAGAACAAATGACCAATTAAGACAAGTATAAACATGAGAATAACCAGTAATGTCTGTTAACCAAGACCCAGCCTGACCTGGGATCTACAGAACAGATCCCCTCCCCACCCAGCCGAGTCTCTAGAAAGGGAGGTTTGATATTAATAGGTTTGTGTAATACTGACTTACCCAAAATAGCATTATTAGAGGAAAAACCTTAAAGAATTTCATTTTTACAATCAAAATTCCTAAACCAACACAGAGAGAAAATGATAGTCATGACAAGAAAAATGAAAGCCATAAAGACAGAGGTGGCAGTTAATTGTTTCTGGTATTCATAGGCTTTGATCTGAAGTTCTTGAGAAAGAGACCTTCTTTATGATGGCCTCAGCTTCTGGAGAATCCCAGGAGACTCGCAGTTCTAGATTTTACATGGGCATGAATATCTGGGAGATGGGTATATACCGTCTTCTTAACTAAGAGACACGAATCCAAGAGGTAGTTCCCAGGAGTTTCATTGCACAATTTGTGGTTCCAAATCCCATCTAATAAAGCTCAAGAACAGTCTTATGTTGGTCTCATTTTCAGTACAGTAAATCTTCAGGCTGAAAGTCCTACGGGGCTTTCTGTGACTTGTCTTTGGGAAAAGCCACAAAGTCTCAATGAAAATGAGTTGGCCTTAAAGTTCTACAACATTTAGCTATATAGGCCTGTGAATGAACCGAGTCAAAAATTGAGGGTGATTTCCCCATATGGATGAGCATCCAGCGACCAGCTCATTTGGGAATTATCTGTGAGTTCCTGTTACAAGGGGCTTAACAGCAAGAGAGCTGAGAGTAAACGTTTGGCTGCAGCATATGAAGTTGCTCAGAGAGTTTGCAAGTTTCTGTTTTAAAGGGTCTTGATTTCTCTGAGGACTGGGCGTGATAGGAACAGTGAGGCTTTTGTTGACAGGCAAAGCTTCATAGCTCATAGAGTGCCTTAGCTAATGGTCTTGTGATGTGGGTACCCCAAAACAAAATAAATGGATGAATAGTACTCAAGTGGGAAACACAGAGTCTGAAAGTTGCTTTGTTACTGTCAGAAAAGTTACTTTACGGAAAGGAAACAACCCCAGCCAACTGGAAAACACACACTATTCTGTGATTAAGAACATATTCATAACCACACAAGGGAACAACGGAATGAAATCTATTTGCAGATATACTCAACAGTCTAAAAGTTTGCACAGGATTTGGGGGTTTGAGAGCCGGAAGACACACCAAAGACACGCTCTGCAATCTTGTTGCGGTTTCCCCATCGATACTTAAGGATATATTTTAAATCATCCTTTCTGTGTACAGGTACAGCTAGTTTTTTTGAGAGACTCTATTTCAGCATCTAATGAAGACCAAATAGCTGTCTTGGTACCACAAGATGCCCTCTGGGTGAAGCAAAGAATCTGATTTTTCCAGTGTGTTATTTCAGAATCAGGTGTTTGATTCTGAAATTGACTCAAGGCCTAATGCCAATAGTCAGGAATTCATTTTGGCTTTGAATTTTGGACTTGCATGGCAGCTTGGACGTGTTAACACAGATTGTTTAGTATATTAATCTGCTACAGCATGAACCTTTGCTTCCTAAAATTGCTATTATGTTTTTGCCTTGTTTAATCGGAATATACCAGCTGTAATTAAGAAGCGACGTTTCTTCTAAAGCATACCAAAATCTTGAACCACTTCTAAAGTGTTTCTACATAGGCATTTCTCTCTTATCTCTAGCTAACTGGCAGGACTTCGTAAGGGTTCTAACTTTCACAACTTCTGCAGGTTTAGTATCTTGAAGAGAGTTGAATTTGAACAAATGTTAGTGTATTCTGATTGCACACTCAGCTTGATAGCTCAGTTCTCAAACAGGTTTTATCCACAATACTTCACAATTTAGGTAGTCTAAAAGGGTTTCAAAGTGACCAGATAATAGCAAGCCCAGCTTGATAGTGTCCTTGCTCAGTTCTCAAACAGGTTTTGTCCATAATACTTCACAATTTAGGTAGTCTAAAGGGGTTTCAAAGTGACCAGAGGATAGCAAGAAAAACTCCCAAATAAGTGTATAATGGTCACGCGTTTTTCTTTCCTGTGGGAGAGGAAGAGGAATAGCAGGTTTTAGGATTTTGTAACAGTGGATAGAAATGTCTATAGGTAAAGGGATTTTTTTACAGCTTTGTTTATACAAAAAAACCCTGCTTGTTTAGTGTACAGATTTGATGAGTTCTGACATGTATACTCCGTGACATCACCACTACAATCAAAGCAATAAACACATCCACCAAGAATCAAGGATTTCAAAGGAAGCCAGACTAGTAACAGAATAAGTGAAGGAGTTTGCAGTCCAAAGGAAGGTCTCAGTGATATGAGGAACCGTGGGGTTAAGCAAAAATCTTAAGACTAAATCATCAGGTGCCTCAGTTGACCTTGCACCGCTACCACTGTGTGCAAACAAGGAGGGCAGGCTTTTGTCATGAAATCAATGTGAAGATAGAATAAGCAGTGAGTCTCTGATGCCCATTTTCTTGTTAAGCTAGAATCCTCCAAACTTGCCTCAATATACTAATAGAAAGAAAGATGTATAATCATTGAAGAGTTCTTTAAGCAGTAAAAGACATTCTCTAGTGAGTCTATAATGCAGGTTTGTCAGTTTTCATTATCTTACAGGAGGGGCAACTAGTCCATAAAAGCTAGGAATCCATGTCTATAATATCCTATGAGAATAAGAAATCTTCTAAGATGTCTTTTTGTAATTGGACAGGAAAGTCAGGAATAACCTGCAGTCTTTGAGAAAAAAGACCTAATTTTTGTTTGATGTCATGGCCAGGAAAATACACATGAGGCTGACAAAATTGGAGTTTATCCCTAGAGACTTTGTGTGCCTGCACACTAACACTGTCAGCAAGTGGAAGAAATAAATTCTGCAGGACTCTCAATCTAGAGAGCAAACAAGATCATCCACATATTGTATAAGAGTGGAGTCCTCAGGAAATGCAATGTCTCTGATGATTCAGGTATCATTCAGTATTTCCAAGAGGTAAGAGGATGTTTCTGTAAATCCTTGATCATAATTGTTCATAGATATTGTTTCCAAGTGAGTGTAAATAGATACAGTGAGTCTGGAAGAAAAGAATCACTAAAGAGTGCTAAGCATGGATCTGCCACTGTGAAGTAAGCAGCAGTCGTAGAGACTGAGGATAGCACAGTATTTGAGCTGGAGACAACAGGAGAGCAGGAAAGTAAAATCGTGTTCATGGCCCTTAAATCCTCTACAAAGTGGCAGTCATACCAATCTTTCTTTGTGACAGACAGAACAGAAGGATCACAAGGGCCAGTACAAGGATAATAACTCTTTTCTGGAGGTATGTGGAGATAATGGACCATAGTCTTTCAATAGACTCCATTTTTCAGTGGGGACTGGGCAATTTCAGGAAGAACATAGCTAGATTTACTTAAGGGTTTGGCCTCTTGTATATGCCCCACATTTGAACCATCTTTGGTCAAGGGGCTATCATGCACACATTCGAAGCCTGGGATGTCCATACAGAAGGCATCAGGGAGTTGTAATCAAGCCGTGGCATTATTAGGTTGTAAGCCAAACATACGTCTTTTCTGAGAATTTCAGCAATACTCCATCTGGACCACATTTAATAATAGCGCCCCAGTTACCATGTAAGGCTCATCACGACACATTTCCCATCTGGTTTCTCTAACTCCAGTGCCCCATTGCTCCCCACAGAAGATACTGACCCATCTCTATTTCCATCACTGCTGCCAGCCTTGGCCTGCAGAGGAGACCCACCACTGAACTTCTTAGTGATGCTGGTGACCCTACTGCCACTAAACTATTAATGCCTTTAATAAATGCTGCATCCTCTGGGCTCTCTTGTGGTCTTCTGTTCTTACCTGATACAGAAACTAGAAGCATGGTTAGTACAAGTAGCCATGAGAGGAGGTAGTGGCATCGCCTGAGGTAGACAGCTGTTGCTTTGCAAGGGAGAGGCCTCTCCAGCATTTTCTAATAGGTGTTAACAGAGAAGGATGGGCCGCTCTGCAAGCTCTGAAGTTATGGTGTCTGCGATGCTAAAATCTTCAGAGGCATCCTCATTCCACGTTTCAGGGTCTCACATTATCCCAACCATGGTCCTGACCTAGACATTACAGGCCTAGCTTGGCTGAGGTTTCAAATGTCTGAAGCTCTGTGAATTTAACTACACAGATTTTAGTCTGTTATTCGACGGAGTCTGTCCTTCCGTTGTAGGAGAAATGGCTTCTTCGTAAGGTGCCACGCAGGATCGTCACCCATAACATTTAGCCTTGACTTGCTTGTTTATAGCCGCAATCTTCATTACCCTCCTGCAGGACATATCAATACAAATTACGCTGAATGAGCTGTCTCTGCTGTCCTCGTAAGCATTGCCATCCTCCCCACCCATGGCTTTTAACTACCAGAGTCATTGCACCTGCAAGACACCACTGCAACTGGACTGCCATCAAGTGACAGGTATTACCCAGGCCCCATCTGTCACTCAAGATATTGCATCTTTCTTCTGCTCAGGGGTGATTGAGTGTGCCCCAAATCTTCAAGTTTTTGCCAGGTTTCTGGATGAGTCTTGGTACCATTTGCATCAACTAAATCCTGACTCCAGAAGGCAGACACCAAGATGGTTTTAGATGGGCAAAAGTTTTTTCGACAAAAGGAAGAAGAGAAGGCAACAAGAGCCTTTGGACTTCAGCTGAAATCTGATACCCACTGAAGGAAAGAGGAAAGAAAGGGACATCGAGTAGTAGAAGGGTTGGACTGCAGAGCGATTCGGGAGTTAATCCAGGTCAACAAAGAGTCCCCATACCATAGTCACTCTTAGGATGAGTCCTGTGTCTCTCCAGAATGAGCCTGTCACTCTAAGTTCATTACGACCCCACAGCAGAAGATCAAGGTAGAGCGCTTTCATGGCCACCACAAGTGCCCACTCTAGGTAAGAGATCTGTTCTTAAGTGAGTCATCAAATACACTCTAACAAATGCAGAAACACGAAATTTAATTTAATTAGCCTATCCAAATGCAAATTAACCTGTACAAAACAGGAACGTAAAGTGATCTTTGAATATATTATGTGATGGTACATTTATATTTCATCATATTTATTATTCTTCTTTTAAAAATCATCTTCCAGGACTGCTATCACATTTGCATGCATAGTTGAATAGGTGGGATGTCAGAGGAGGCCCCTCCGCAGACTTTGCTCTGTGCTTCCTCTCTATAGATTTTAGTACCTCAGAAACCCAGTCATTCCAAAGCCTGCAGTCAGAAATCGTAAGCATTTTACAAATCTTGTGAGATACAATACCATCATCCATTCATTTATTCATTCTTCCAGATTCTCATTTATTCAATGCTATTAACCATCTTCTGTGTACTAGACACTGTTAAGCCGTGCGATCCCATAAAGCTGACAGTATGTAATTATTGAAAACATGGAATGAACAAAAACAAAACATCTTACATCTCCGCGTCCTTGCCCCATCCACAGTTTACCAAAGGTAGGACTAAGTTCTTTCTAAAGTATGTAAGCTATCCCATACTACAAAGCACCTCAGACACCAGCAGAAGGAAACAATTTTCAACTGCTTTTCTCAAAAAGAATGCACGTGCATATCACGCCATCAAGCTCCTAACTATGTAAATAAAACTCTGTTTTCTTCAAGGAAGATTTTCTAAATGACTTCCTGAGTCAACCTTGGAGGCAGCTGCAGCATATTACAAACCAAGAAGAGAAAGTTTCATATCAGAATAACCTCAGGGCAAGTAAAAAGGTAAAAAATATTCCTGAAATTATTCTACTGATATTCAAAGAAACTGACAATTAAACCTTACCTCCACTAGGGCCAAACTGAAAACCACAGAATACAGATAGCACCTTAGTGTAACAGACCTGCAAGCCAGCTGATGTTTTGACATTAATTGAAAAGAACATTGTATTTGGTAAGGTTCAAATTTTGGAGACTATCAATGCACTAACTGAAAATTCATTTGAGAATTCCCTTCAGATGTCTGTTTAACCTGGGTTTCAAACCCCCAGGAAAACCACAGTCTCTTTATCTATAGCTTATGCAGCAGGAGGCAAGACGTTTAATAAACTGAACAAGACTTTAGAAAGGTAGAAGAGTGAAATTTGAATTCAACCCGTGGCTTACTTGCTACAGACTTTCTTTTTCCTGGGGAAACCTCAGGCTGTTACAAACGAGAAGCAAAGGTGGTAGCCTACCCTATCACATACACTGTTTCCTATCTGTTCTGGAGCTGCAGCTGACTGATTTGTTTCTCCTAAGGCTGATCATGAGCAAACTCTCTCCATAAAAGCAGTGGATTGAAGGTGGTGACAGGTCAGGATGATGACAGCAATCACAGAGTACAGAGAAATCCCAATTAGCAGAAGAACCAATTAATTTAAAATGAATCAGTAATTTCAAATATTTTCAACTTTGCAGCAATTAGCTAAAATTTTTCAAGAGAGGGATTTTTAAATGTGTGGGTTGCTAAACAAATAAACAAGGTTTTCTCTAAGTCGTAATCAACCTTACAATCCCTCAAACTTGTTTATACAAATGCACTGATTCAGATATTCGTTCATTCATTCATTCATACATACATACATACATACATAGATTGTATTCCTTGGTTGAAGAACATTAGGAATACTCGTGAAAGATGTTATTCTTGAATGATCGCCACTTCTAATGCTGAAAAGGCAATGGATTTTGTAGCTCTCCTTCTGATAAGAGAATATATGCAGATGCTGAAATAAGTCTCTGAAACAATGAGACCAAAACCAGCCTATTTTGCTTCCTACATCTCCACTGACAAAATAAATCTATGCTATAATTTCAGGTCAGACATTCTGGCTTTGTGGAATAACAAAAGATTTGAAATGCCTGTCAAGATTTTATTGTGCCAATGGTCTGAAAATCACCCATACAATTTGGTAACTGTAAACACTATATGAACGTGAACATTTAATGCCCCAACTCTGCTATATGATGACTGAAAACTATACTTCATTCTATACAGTCAAGGTCAAAAGAATAAATCAAATTCGAATAAAAATTTTTTCTGAAATCCATATGCACCAAGAAACTCTAAAAATCCCTGGGGTAAAAAAGAACTCTTTCTAGCTTGGCTTTGTACTTCCTCTCTGTTCCTAACTGTTCAGAAACATACCCAAACGATTCAATATCATCACAGGCTACTCACCTCCACATTTCTACCTTTCAAATAGTTTATACCGTGAAATCACAAAGGCACTGATTGTCATTCCCAAAAGACAGAATCACTTTACTGTCACATCAAAAGCATTTGAATAGTTCCTCTAGTTGTGAAGAAGGTCAAAGCTAAAATGTTGAAACTGTTGCATTATTATTTTGAAATGAAATAGCAATCGCATCAGACAGTTCAATTGGCACAGAATTGTGCATGCCCAGAAAACTAAAGACTGATGCTTAGACTATACTCCATATCTCAGATATGTGATTTATGTTTATTTTCCATGCGCAGATCTCCACATGTCCTAGCTTTCCATTAAAAAAACAATAGGGAAGTCCTTCTGAAGCTAATTTAACACCTGTGAATTCCCATAGGCTATAAGCAGAGAGAGACTAATCTGTTTGATTAAGTGAATACCTCAAATGTCAAAGGTACTAAGTTCAACTTCTGCACTGGGGCTCTGTTTTCATATGTTCATTTTTAATTTCAATGATTATATGCAATGGGACAGCATTGCTGTGGCACAGATGTACGTTTTCAATTTCCTCTAATGGAAGTATCAGCAGTTCCCCAACTTTGACATCAATGTGGCTTTTTGAATTGCATACATTACCACACGTGTAGAATAACAAGAAACACTTGGGTTAAAGAACAAAAGATTTTGGGGCACATGCCTGTAGTCCCAGGTACTTGGGAGGCTAAGGATTGCTTGAGTCCAAGGGTCCAAGGCTGCATTGAGCTATGCTCATGCCTGTGAACCGTCACTGCACTCCAGCCTGGATGACATAAGGACTCCCTGTCTCTTAAAAAACAACAACAACAACAAAGTTAATTAATTTTAAAAACTGGGTGAAAAAAACTCTTAGAAAAGATTTTGCATCATGAGACTTACAAGCATGGGTCTTGGTGCCTGGGTCATTTTAAACATATGGGTTCTATATAAAATACAGCATTTTCCTTGTTTTGGATTCACCTTCTGGCAAAGTAAGAGTCACACTGATTTCCCTAAGCTTTTAACTAATTCCAACAACAGGCTTCTACAGTAAACTCTGAAGTAAGCCAGGCCACGGTGAGTCTCTTTTTCTGGATGTATGAATTACCTTTTGGTTACCATGAAAGTATATCGATTTTTCTCTAAGTCCTATAGGACTGATCCTGGCTATAGTGGCTACTACAGAGGAACTTTCTCTTAAAGAATTTATACAACTGCAATAAAATACTAATGTTTCCAAGAGCACAGTGTTTTCCAAGGGGCTGATCATTAGTTTAGGGTTTTCTTATCAACTGAAACTAAAAGCATAAATCTCTGTCTGTCTATAAAGAGGCTGCAGTAATGTTTCTCAGACTTTTAAACTCACTCCCTCTTCTGCAAACAATCCACATCAGGATTTTTGTAATTAATACCAATTTGGGAATAAACTAAAAGCTTTGTAATGTGAGACTGTTGAGTTTTTACCTTCCACACCTCCCCTCCCATGCAGTCCACTTTTTCCTCTGTCTTGTTTTGTGAGCCATTCTCCCAGAAAATGAAATCACAGATGCTATAACAGGAGCGAATATGTCCTATTGTCAAAACTGGAGAGAAATCTGCAAGGTGAAATCAACTAAGGAATGTATTGTCCACCGAATATAAGCTAACAGTATAGGTCCCCAATGTGATGAATATAATCACAAAATATTGACCCATAAGAATGTACTAAATGACACTAGTGATAGGGTACAGGCATGATATTTTAGAGTAAAGCACATTAAGGGGTAATCTTCTAAGAAAATTCATTCTCTATATCTTAACAAGCCTTATTTCTTCCCTTCACCCAGTTCCTTATTTAAATGTCACATCGTCAGTGTGCTTGACAAGAATATAGTATCGAATGTAGCACCTCTTCCCTGGCAACGTCATCCACTATGCCCCAGTTTTTCTTCCTAGCATGGATTACCCAACTTTATATTATGTATTTATTTGTTTTCTGATTATTCTTCCTACTAGAACGTGAGCTACCTGAGGGCCTGCTGTGTTAAACTCATCTCTGTTTCCAAGTACCTGGAAAGTGGCATTCAATACGGGTGTGAAAAATAAATAAATAAATGAACCATGAATTCCAACTGAACCAACACCCACATGTGATTAGCACAATCACCAAATGGGGGGAAAATGGACTAGGATAAAAAGTCTTAACCCAATACTTCTTCTCAAACCAAACAACAAACTAAAAAACAGATTATTATCATAAGGATTATCCCAAAACTTAGAGCTGCAAATAAAACTAAACTTTGAAATTTCTAAGACATATATAACTATGCTGATGTATGTCTTCCTGCAAGCATAGAAATCCCTTGCTTCAAACCCACTAACATCATTGCATATAATTATTTCAGAAAATGCTTATGACATATGAATAAACTGATTCCAACAGTAGATTCTCTACATATGCGCCTGAGATGGTTCTGTCACATTGATTACGACCATGATTTTAGGCCTCCAGGAAGGAAAGCTGGGAGTGAGATCTGTTTTGGTCAGGGAACAAGCTGTGAGATGCCTGTAAGATTCCTAGCTCTCTATCCTCCGAGAGTAAAGGCACCCGAGTCATTCTCTACAGCAAACTTTCTACAGCTTTCTGGCTTAGAATTATGAGTTCTGGTGATTCTTGCCCTTGGCTAATCAAAACTTCACCACCAGCAGCTATGTCTTCTGAATGTCCAGATCTCCCCTGAACCAGGGACAGAAGAGCAGCTCTGACATGAATCTCTGGTGACAATACCATCATCCCCCACTATTTCATGGGCCTGTTCTTATATGAACATTTCCAGCCATTATTATTGGGTGGCAACACAACTGGAACAAATAATGAAGAGAAGCTTTTGCCCCTTTTATTTAATACCTTTCGTGAAAAGGTTGAATGCCCCAAACTTCATATTTTTCTTTCACTTTTCAATGCTAAATAAAATTTCAGTAGCATTGAGTAAATAAAATTATTAGTAAAACTTATAAGTTATTTTGTAGTTTCTGATTTGATACGTCCCAAAATAGCTATCTTTTCATGGTGTTATTAAAATATTCCAAAGGTTGCCTCCTAGGCAGCCCTTATAAAGGACTTTCTTTCTTCTCGATTTATGTCTTCACCCAAACACTCGATTTAAGTATAATAGGTCTTTGCACTACCTTGCGGTTATTCTCATTCTAATTTTTCTTCGTCAGTCAGTTAGGTTAACCTTTATTAAAAGTCTTATCTCATCTGGATTCCTCTTCCATCACTTGGGGAAGTGCTGTCTTCTTTAATATTTTCCCTTTTGTCACTTAATTTTATTACATGGTGTTAAACACAGACCCACATGCCAATACCTGGTAAGTTTTCGCTGTGATGATTG